GTTCAATCGCCACATACCAACTACAAATGGAAAGCACCATCGGTTGTACAATGTCAAAACCAAACAAAATCTACTCGAAATTAAAAGAAAAACACAGATCCTTAAACGACATAGTTTTTTAAGGCAACCTCTTTATTTCTCTCCCAAAAAAGGCAGACTCTTGGACAATTTCCTTGCATAATTCCTGTCACAAAAAGCATCTAATTTCAAATAAAACCCCGCTTCCACACCTCAATTTCTTCAACAATACATTTTACAGGCACACTCAACGGAAGGCAATTTGAATTAGGAGTAGCTAATCCTAAGGAAGAACAAGATAGGATTACTGGATGTGGTGAAATTAGGCCACTGGAAGCTCCCCGCAGTCACTGATGACGACCTTCTTCAATGGACGGTCTCCACGGTCTGTTTCTTGCGCCTCAATCTGCTTAACAATGTCGAACCCTTCCAGGACTTGCCCAAAAACCACATGCCTCTGATCCAGCCATGGCGTCTACCATTCAACCAATAGACGTAAATTAAATTAGAACTTTGGCCAAACCAAATAGCGCATCAGGATAAGCAATTTCACATTGTAAAAAACGCAACCAAATTAGTATGGATGCAATGGATTTGCAACCAGAAAGCTATTGAGACAGTATAGAAGGACGTGTCGAACCAAAAGCAACACATCTCAACTAAATGCCTTATGTAAGAAAATCTAATTCCTACACAGCTGCATACGACCTGTAATATCCAACACACAGATAATTTGTCCAAACACATCAACAGATAGTAAATCCAGGAACTTCACTAAAATACTATCACCGAGCAAAAAGAGCATGCCAATCTAAACCTAGTTCAGCAGCGAAGGTATTCACAATTTTTTTCTGAAGATGGAATGTTTAAATCTCTATTCCACATTTGTAATACTGTATTCTCAACAAAGAAAGTAGGGGAAAAGATGAAGAACAGGGTAACTTCCAGTAATGCAAATGAAAATCAATCGAGCAAATTTTTCCAAAACAGTAGCTAATAAGCATCTAGTCAGGAAAGCATATTAGAATAAGGGTATCAAAAAATTTGTCTGATTTTGCCCTCAAAGAGATCATTGCCAAGTCAAGGAACTCAACTAGGAATTATAATTTTATATGCTAGCTGCCTATCAGAATATCCAGGTAGAGGTTTGCACGCACAGTACCTTGACAGTGCATATGAAAAACTGACTTCCGTTAGTATTTGGACCTGCATTCGCCATGCTGACAACTCCTGGACCAGTATGACTTACTGCAAGCAGAATAAGTTCCAGAGTCGGATACTAGAACAAATAGATTATAACCTTTTCAATAAATGAAAGCTCAATTCTTAATAACAAAAAATAAATGTGTGTGTGTGTAGAACATATAGAACAAAATACACATAGACATTAAGAACTGGTGATATTCCAACGGAAAAAGTATCCAAGGAAGGAGGAAGTTGTTGTCTTTATAACAGTATAGCAGAACTGCTGTCGATCGTCTAAGGCAAGGATTAAAAGAACCAAGGTTAAGGTTCAAGTGTCTTTCACAATATCAAATGCACTATTCATATTCAATCAGAATAAGCAAATGATTAGTTTAGGAAGTAAAGTTCACTTTTAATGGAAATGACCTGAAATTTACGATTGAATCAAATAAAATGATGACAGACTCAAAATAAAGAATTGAGGAAAAATTACTTTTCTATTCCCCAGTTTTGTAAGAATACGCGCTTTAGTCCCTAATGTTTCAATTGGGTCAATTTAGTACCTAATTGATGTAGCAAATGAGAACAGAGACCTTCTAAACCTTATTTTTTCAAAACTAAGGGACTAAATTGGCCAAATTGAAACCTTAGACACCACACATTCCTAGAAACTCACAAAACTAAAAAGACAAAAATCAGGCTTTCTTTGGTTAAAAAGTTGGTAGTTTTTTTAGAAAGAGAGACGAAAGCAGCAACTGAAACATGAGGTGCAGAATTTAACTTACATTTGAAGTTTTCATCTTTAAATGTACGACCATATATGCTCTTACCCCCAGTTCCCTGAAAGTGTAAGATCTGGTTAGTAATCATACAAAAAAAAAAAAAAAAAAAAAAAACGTCCAATTTAAATAAATGCCTTGATATGATGGAAAACTTGGAAAAGATACATCAAGGCCCTGCTATTGCTGTCAGATAATAAATTCAACATTGACTGTAAAACCATTTAGAGAATATCTATTTAATTCTTTCAGTTTACTAATTATGCAAGTAGTTACATCTTAATTCATCGTCTCTCTCCCTTTTATCAAAAGATTCATGTCATGTCTTATGCCAATAACAAATCTATCATCCAAAGAAATTTGTCCTTCACAGTATCTACTGCTTTTCAGTCCAAGCGAATGTCATTAATACCATGCACAACAAGTTACTATTGAATCTGTGTTTCCCAATCTAGATTTACTCAGGTGCTTGGTTCTTTATCGTGAATCTCAAATGTGGCATATGCTATGACTTCCTTCCCATTGTCATATTATAATCATGTCCAAAGGCAATGTTTTTCCTTTTCTTTTCCTGGCATGAGAAACTTGCCATATTCACAAAACCTAACAATCAGACCACAACTACCACCCTAAAAATAGTATCTTAAAAAAGTATCATTCGAAGTTTAAACTGCATAGAATTTTTTTTAAACATATGATTTCTAAGAAAACAATAGTGTTCTCCAGACATATTTATTTGAGACACTGCATCATGAGCCAAAAAAATATGGAGACATCAAAGAAATCTCAAGAGTCGTATTTATAATAACCTGGCTACAATTAATGCAGCCAATACATCTTCTTTTCCTGGGGGTGTTAAATGCCTTAGCAAATCCACGTTAAGCTAGCATATGCTAAATAATTTCCAATTTCCAAAGAGCCCTTCGATTTATTGTAACTATCTTTTCAAATGTGAAAGGATTATGTATTTTCCACCATGTCTATTACCTAAGACATTAGTTTTAAAACTCTCTACAATCGTTCTCAAACACCTATAATAGTGGCGTTTTACACAGTTAGTAAGCATCAAGATCCAATTAAGCGCATAGAAACAATAGAAAATACTTCTTTCAAATTTTCCCTTCATTCTAAAATTTTAGCCTAATTTCTTCCATTGCGTCCAACAGCATACACAAGCTTCAAGAAAGAAACCAAAAATTGATCATAAGCTCACCATCTGACAAGAAATATATGCTAGTTACGGTAGTCGTGATTCTATTTGCATATCCAACCCATAGGACGACTCCTACCTCATAGATAGGCAATTATCAAAAGACCAATTGAACATTTTAGTGAGCAATTCATGAATTCTAGCGGTACTGTGTCAAAAGAAACTGGAAATCCTTAACCCAGTGAACGAAATAATATAGTACACATGGACAGACATTTAGAAGGCACTCACATTTCCCTTGTCAAAGTCACCTCCTTGTATCATGAAATCCTTGATTACTCGATGAAATGCAGAACCTTTGTATCCAAAGCCCTTTTCTCCTAATAAAGTTAGTAAAGTTGGTTACCTCCGGAAGCTGGAAGAGATAAACAACTAAAAGTCTCATAATATATATAATACCTGTGCAAAGAGCACGGAAGTTCTCTGCCGTTTTGGGCACATCGTCCCCGAATAATCCAATCACAATCCTCCCAGCAAGCTTCCCTACTGGATTACCAATGCTCACATCGAAATATACCTTGTTTGTTACTTTTGCTTGAGGTACGACCTAAAATCAAAGAAAAGAGGACCAATGTTTCATTAACCAAAGGTCACTAGTGATACCCTTGTCAATCATCTGAGTGAAGCTTTGATTTTTTTTCAAATACATAGCGAACAATTGGGGAGAAAATCAATATAACTTTCCTCCCCTCGTTTAATTTCATCTAAAAAAGAGTAGAGGAAATAGCATATTGTTAACCTCAGCACTAGCTCGGACCGAGCTACGAACAGCAGTCCTCGAAGACAACGGGTTCCAAGATGTTCTCAGAGAAGGAAACTGCAACGAGCCGCAGAGAAAACTCGAGGCCGACGAAAGATTCGACGGTAATTGAACCCTATGGAGGTTAACCGAATTACAGGGACCATAAGCTCTGGTTTGTGAGGCGCTATTGGAACAAGAAAGCAAACCAACCTTGGACTGCAAAAGGCAAAATCAAATGAAACCAAACGGAGGACGGTGAATTCAGAAAGTGAAAATGGAAGAGTAGAAGCAAAAAGTAGAGAACGGGAACATCGACATTGGCGGAAAGGAGGAGGGAAGAAAGGAGGAGGGAAGAAAGGAGAGGAAACTTTACCAGAGGTGTAGTAGCAAAAGGAGCCGCCATGGATGGAGATTTGTGCTGGAAAATGAAATGGAGAGAAGCTCCGTTGATAAGGCTCACAGCACCGTATAAAAAGCGTACAAAAAGGGTGTTTTGGGTATTACAACAAAAAGTTTATCTAGTGTAGGCAGCGATGAGTTCGAGGACGGTTGAAATAAGAATCTTGGGGAAAATTCGAATCTTTTTTTTTTTTTCTTTTTCTTTTTACTCTTTTTTATCTGCCGTGAATCGCTTTTAGTTGAGCTACCATTTTAAAACTATAAGAAAATGGTTTCAAAATCAAATATATTATTATTTATCATTTAACGCCAAGAGTTCCCAATTTAGTTGTTAATCTATTAAATTTTATAATTGGAGGTTCAAAATTGTTCCATGGCTGTTTATAGAAATATTATACCCCTAAAAAATGAGGGCAGTTAATCCATATCATATTGACCGAAATGGAAAGCTAATTTTACGAAGAACAAAGAAACATTTAAAAGTTACGACAGTTCATATAATACAGAGACAATTTCCAAATTTAAATAAAGAAGCGACAATTCTCATTAATTATATCAAATGAGGACCAGTTGAACGGGATAGAAAACCTCCACCATTTCTAATTATTCCTTTTTTCATTTTTTTTTTTTTATATATAAGTTCCTAAATTCTTAAGAATGCAAAAAGAAAAAATGAAAATATTTCAACTCTCTTCCAAGTTCCAGTACAAAGGTTTGGTATTGACCAACTCAAATTTGATCATTTACAACTGCGGGAGAAAAGAAAAGAATTGGAATACATATACCTGCCAAATGGTTTTACGCAGCTGACCGCTGACCGCTGACCTCTAGAAAACCTATACAACAACTTACAAGAGGGTTAAACAAAGAACAAAACAGACAACTGCACATTCAACAAAAATGATTGGAGAAAGAACCAAACAAGAAAGGGGGTAAAAAAAAAAAAAAAAAAAAAAAAAAAANAAGAAAGGGGGAAAAAAAAAAAAAAAAAAAAAAAAAACAATCAATTTCTGTTCTATCTATTTTGCCTAATCGTCTAAGCGTTGAATTTCTCCCATCATAATTCGGTTGCTGGTGACTTTGAAACCCAGTAGGGCTGGGTCTATTTGTCTCCCCTTCTTCCCTTTCTTTTTCCCACCTTTCCCCCCTCCCTGCATTCCATCAGATGGCTCTGAAACTACCCCTGTTGTCGGATGGGCTTCTTGCAGTGCTGTCTTTTTCAGCATATCAATAAATGAAGTCTCCGACACGTCGCTGTCGCTACAAGAAGAAGAGCGCCGAAAACGCATCTCTTTCTTCACAGCTGCCATGTTTTCTTGGTTCACCAAGATACCAGTTGGCTCCAGTCTTCCACCTGAACAGACATAGTTTTAGGATGGATCTTTTATTTTGTTTTAAAATGCAAAATGAATCAAGAAGATTGACAAAATGGATCACTTATTATTTACCGTCCAAGTTCTTCCCTCTAACAACTGGATCGGAAAACAGGACAGACAATCCATCCTGGGATGCCGAAGTGCGTGAGACAGGAGGGCGTTTCAACAAAGTGTTATCTTTATTGTGAGTGGGCACCCTGTGAAAAGACGGATGAATAAAATAGAGGTCTATAACAAATTCATATTTATACGACTAAGAATATAGTTGCGGTGAAGGAGGGCCAACGGGTTTGTATAAAATTAAAATCCCTTGTGAATCCACTTACTAACGAACTGAGAAAATTGCTTAGAAATAAGAACTTACGGGTCTTTAGCAATCTCTTCTGGAAACGTATTAGCAATCTTTTCATTGTGAAGGCCTACATTTCCAAAAAGACAAAACACAAAAGATTGCATCTCCATAATAGAAAATGGTAGAAGAAAAGGTTACTAGAAAAAGGAGAGAAAAGTATATACCAGCAGAACCAAGAGAAGAATGCCGACTAAGGGTATGAGTATCTATTGAAAATTCCCCACGATCAGTAGATGCCACTTGATCAAGCATGCTTTCTTGAATTTGAAAAGCTTGAGTTTTCATCAAACCCTCACCTTTCAATCCTCGAGCCCTGCCCTCCACATCCAATACATCTTTATTCATAGAAAGGTTACCAGCCATGGTAGAACTAGAGTGGTTAACTGCACCATTGGCTTTAAGACCAGCCAAAATTGATGCTCCCTTAACAACAGAGACAGAATCCGACCTGTATGGGACCTTCTCATTGCTTGTCAAGCTGCCAGGATGCTCGTCTTGCAGTGGTTCATAAGAATTAGAACCATAAGGCCCCATTGACGATGTGTTGTTCAAACCTCTTTCCTTGCCTGCTGAATGAAGAATGAACGACTGTTCAAGAGAGCCTGATCCAGAATAGAGGCCAGATGATGCTCTCTTGAAAGATGGTCCACTTCCAACATCCAAGGATTCTGTAGGTTGATGAACAGATTTCTGATTGAGGAGTTCCATCAATAACTGCTTTGACTTCTCATCATTAAGCCCGTCTGACATCCATAAAGTTGGATCCTCAGAAATCATTTTAGCTTCCAACTCCCTTTTCTGTTGCTCAGCATTGATATGCAGTTGTTGAATGCGAGACTCCATCCAATCATTTCCAAGTCGGTCATTTTCCTCAGACCAGCTTCCTTCAGTTCTATCAAAATGTGAAACATGAAATTGGTTACTGACTAGAGAGTGATGATGATTCTGTGGAATGGTACTGGGTGCATATTGTCCCAGTTGACCACCAGGTGGATTGTGTGCACTGGATTCTTGTAATTCTAAAGCACGAGCATGGGCCATAGCATTAACAACATCCAGATTCATCCCCTGAGCTACATCAGGATAGGATATTGATCTTTCAAGTGGAACTGAAGCAGGCTCATAAAGACCTAGTCTTAACCGATCTTGAAATGAAAGATTGCGCTCTACATGATTCAGCGGCCCTACATGAGTTTGCCTCTGTTGATGCTGGAATGATTCAAACCCTGAAGATGGTAAACGTTGTGTGACAGCATGTCCTCTGAAAAACTGCTGATCAGCCTCATCCTCTTGCCAGATAGGACCAGCAACATGTCTCTTGTCCTCCATATTGGCTCTCTGCCTTAATGCTGACAACTGTCTCGATTGTAGCATTTCCTGCTGGAGAATTTGATGATCCAATGGTTGCATGTGTCCATGCTGAGCCCGAGAAATTAATTCAGACAAATCTCTTTGTTGTTCTTTTTGTGGTGGCAAGTGACCAAACTTCGCTTTAATAAGCTGCTCGAAAGATGGATCAACAGATCTATGTTGATGATGAGACTGTTGCTGTAACTCATGTAAAAGACGTTGCTCCATGATCACCTGATCAAGAGCATTATTGGCTCTAATTGGATCAATATGTGACTGCACAAGGCCTGAATCATGCATTTGTCTATGCAACAACTGTTCAATCAGCGCCTGCTGGACTTGAGAATGATGTTGTTCATGCAAAAGCTTTTGCTGCTGCTGCAACTGCTGCTGCTGTAATTGGTGCTGTAACTGCAGCTGCCGTTGCTGTTGCTGTTGATGTTGCTGTTGCATCTGCAAGCTCAAGAAATGATCAAGATCTGGTGTACTTCTATTAGCCAACAGCTGTTGCTGGTGAATAAGACTCTGCTGTTGCATATGATGATCTAAGGTAGCTTCATTAGAGTGAGACAACAAATTCCGCTGTTGAAGTGCCTGATGATATTGATGCGACATGAGTTGATCAGCCAAATCAAACCTATTAGACTCTTGTTCTATATGTGGCAGGGAATGAGCAACGTTCGCATCCTGGTATACACTCTGGTCAGAATGCATACTTCTTCTGTAAACATCAAGCCATGTCTCTGCATTGAGAGATGCTTCCCCCTTCCCAACTACTGGTGCAGTCCTTACCATGCTTGAAGGCATGTTAACTGACTTGGCATGTTTCGAATTTGTGGCCTCAACTGGTTTCATATTTGTACCTTCCAGCTCAGACCACAACAATCCAAAAGGGTGCAACTTATTTTCATTCTGAACAGGCACACTGCGATCAGTTGACTCATTCGAAAGAGAAGGTTGGCTAATAGAATTCACCAAAGGCAGTACACCAGAAGAGTTTGGAAATTGATAACCGTCGTTTCCAGGTCTTCCAGAAAACACAATTTCTGTATAACAGAGAAATTCTTATGACGAGATTGTAAAAATAATAATAATAGCACATTAGTACAAATAAAACAAATCAACAACATAATGAACTCAACAAACCTTCATTCTGAGCCACAACATCATGAAAGCTTTGACCCTTGGAATGTAAGTGAAATGGTGATTCAGTCTCAGAAATTCCAGATGGAATTTGTTGATTGGAGAGGCTATGTAATTCAGCCAAAGAACGATGAACCTCATTGGTTGTGGATGCCTCATTCATATCAAGAGCTGGATGCTTAGAAGATAAATTTGTCTCCATTATTCCTCCCGAGGCACCAGACTGGCCTGAAAGAGATTTTGTATCAGCACAGTCAACACTTCCCTCTCTAACTTTCAAATGTGGCATAACCTCCCCCAGCTCACAGAATGGGGACTCGGGGGCATCCGCCAACCGAACAGGCAGGTCCAACCCAAAGAAACCTTGTTCATACCACAAGATTATGTCAGCCCCAATAAATGGCCCCTGCATAACCCCTTGAGGGTCAAGATAGAACAAACTCAACTCCTCAGATTTCACATCAGAACTTTTATTTGGATTTTGCTCAGAGAAGGGAATAAAGAAAATAGAACTAGGATCATCAGAAAGCTTGGATCTGACATCAAAGGAATTGGAAAACTCAATTTCATCAAAGTTATGAGGCCTTATATGATCAGAATCTGCTCGCCCACTCACACCAACATTTAATTGAGTACCAGGGTATCCACTACCAATCTCCATCACATGTTGGGAGGCTACTGTAGATACTGTGTGGGCCAATCCACCATAGTTGGACATAGAAACAGCGGCACCAGACCTTTTTTCCTCTTCCTTATGGCTGATAAATTGTCCTAATTCATAGAAATTAGAAATGAAAACAATGTAACAGATGAACACTAAGCAATATCATATTTGTTATCAGAAGACAGTGAAAAAAGATCTAGGGTGCAAAGTCTAACCATCTAGGACATCTCTCATTGAAGGATGACTCCAAATGCCCCTGTCACTAGCATCTTGGCATGCTTCATCATATGTAACTTCATGAGTCGCATTAGCAATATCTTCATTTGGAGTTGCTGCAATGAAAGAAATTCATTTGGAAAAGTATATTGATTATCCTTGATAACTAGATAAAGGAAACGTAGGGAGGAGTTAGACAAACAAGTACACGGTTAACAAAACTTGCAGACAAAACTCAATACCTGCTACATTGTCGGATCCTGAAGTAGAATCCAACCCAGTCTGATTTCCATCTATGGAGTCTACATCTCCTGGATTGGATTTCAAGAAAGATTAGTTCCTAGTTTAATTATAAAGAAGTTAACAAATGGACGGATGCCATGGCTATTGAATAACAAATACCTAAAATACATTCAGATATCTTCCCTTTCTTATGTGAATTGTTTACAACCCCGCTACTTGTGATTTTTCCTTTCCATATGTCACCAAGTGTAGTCTGCATGATATAAATAATAGAGTCGTGATCAGAATACTAATTACCAACAACATTTCAAAAGAATTCATTTGTTACCTCCTCCTCAGCATCCGGAGAAACAAAAGCTAATGGTTCTACAACACTAAGTTGAGTCACAGGCTGCAATTCTTCAATATCATTAGGCAGAGCTGAGAACGATGGATCAGATTTCTGCCTCCTATATATGTCAAGAAGCTTACCCCTAGGGTAGCAAAAGGCATGAGTTGAATATCTTGGTTTCCCAGGAACATTTTCAATCTTATTCAAGAGTGGAACTCCAGGGGATCCAGTTGATCTCCCAATAGTACTTGACCTTCCTCTTCCAATTGTAAATCCTAAATTAGACCCCCCATCTCCCCGCCCTCTCTCAAGTGAAAAACCAGGTGCAGCACGAGAGGAAGTTGAACCAACCGAATGGCTTTCCATCCTATGGCGAGGCCTCCATTTATCACGTGAATCAGAGTCACGCTCAGAAACAGGGCGATTGCCACTCACTGATTGATTGTCATTGCGAACATCTTCCTTATCAGCATCTGATCGCTTGTCCATCCGTGTTTCCTTTTCCTTGTCATCTGGTCCCCATCTCACCGTCCATTTGTTGTCGCGTCGTGCATCATGACCAGAAGTACGACTATCATACCCAGAAGCACGACCATCATGTCCAGAAGTCCGACCATCATGACCAGAAGTGCGACTATCATGCCCAGAAGTACGACCATCATGCCATCTGTCTGAATTAGGCAAGATTCTACCCTCTATCGTCTCCTTAGTTGACATGTTATCAATGCGGCGCTCAGTTTTCCTGCGGCGGCCACCAAGTAAGCCAGTTTCTCGCTCTTCCTCTCGCCAACGGCGGCCACTTTCACTTTCAGAAGTATTTTTCCTCCAATCCTTCTTGTCCTCAGACCCATCTGGGCGCCAACCCTCTTTCTGATTGAGATCAGTGGAGATAGCAAGGGACACTGGTGTTGGAGCACGCACTTCCTGTTACATATTGAACAGAATGCTTATCTACTGCAAAAAAATTAATGCACACTCTATCCAAATTTACCTTGCAATTACCTGGGAGTGGCCAAAATCAAATTAGGCTGTAATAGGATTTCAATTTCAGTCTATGTGCTAGCTAGGTTTTCTACAAATACATATAATAATAGAACGTCTATACTTTGAAAATTTTAAGGCATCAACCAACCAAGACATACTTAAAGTTAGAAAAACCCTAGTTTAAAATATGCCAGAAAGAGACTTCCATTCTCACGCCAAGCTAGTAGAAACTAAACAACAAAATTATAATCTTTTCTTACTTTTCAAGGCTAGAGCAAGAGAGAACTTAACCAGGCTCGTAACATTTTTTTTCATGTCTATTAAAATTGCGCCAAGAGAAACTTCTACGATCAGCTAAAAGGCATGGAGACAGGAATTTCAATAATATTCCTATTGATCCAAAATTGGAGCTCAAAGGTATAATAACAAAGTTGAGTAGAGAGAACACCTCAGTAGCTCCAATTCCCATATTCAAAAAATAGTCTGTGCAAGCTAAGAGGCTTAAAGAATAACTATAGTAATTTTTATGAATAGTTTTGCAAACTTAATTTTTAAAACAGTTCCTGATTTATACATCCAATTTTTAAGAAAAAGATGTCATATGTTGTTGTGGATACATTTGTTTCCTGTATGCATAAATTTAATACTACACATTTAAAAAAAAAAAAGCTATATTGATAAAACAACGATAGCCATAGATGAATATTTAATTTAGAAAACATCAAATAAAACAAATGCAAACAGCTAAATAGTATTCCAATTACCTCTTCTTCTTTTTCCACTTGTTTCTAGAGACTTTTAAAATTCTATTGTGCCAAATAACTTTTGTGTTACATTTTTTAACTCAAAATCAATTTCTATACATGACTCTAAAGAAATCCCATAGGCTGTCATATTCTGGGTGAATTGTCAATGGCTTCTTTTTTCTTTTTTTTTTTTTTTTTTTTTTTTTTTTTTTTTTTTTTTTTTTTTTTTTTTTTTTTTTTTTTTTTTTTTTTTTTTTTTTTGTAGAACGAAAATGCACGAGACTTTGAATCTTCCCAAAAGAAACTAGAGTTCTTCAAATACAAAATGGAGACAATAACACAATCTATTTGAAGGAACTCTACCATATCATAAGCATAAGCAAGATGGTTTTCTTATCTCAACAAGAACATAACAGAGATTCCTTAAAATAATTCTTTGGGGTGGAAGCATAAGGGGAACACGAACATAATACGAACTGACTGGCCAATTCCTTACTTTTAAAACTCTGCATGCACAGACATGTTTCCAGGGACTTCCTTTCCAAGAAAAACATTATCAAATAAATGACTAAAAAGGGTACAATCAGGAAATAAAAGCTTATCAATAAAACTTTCCCAACAACAGAAAGGAGAACAAATGAAATTCTGCCAAACAGGTCAAAGTATTACCACCTTAGTTTCACTTGGTCTGGCGTATAGCCATTGAGGGGACAAAGGTATGCTGTTCTCCGAAGCCACCGAGTCTGCAGCATTTGACCATGTTAGCATTGTTACTTATGATCAAAACTCGGAAAAATTATTTTAAGGCTAGCTACCTTTTGACTCATCAAGGAAGGCCGTGAGCACCTTCTCCTCATCATTCCCTCCAGAAGCTTCCACTATCATAAGGAAACGGGTGATTGCAACATGAATAAGGCAATTAACACAACATAACATAATATAAAAGGCAAGAGCCACTAAAGCGGCAGTACGTCTTGCTAAATCACGAAAAAAAGACTACAGAAACTGCAAGAATCGGCCATCTCAAAACCTTTAAGAGAAAACAAGAGAGAGGAAGAAAACAATGATCGCAACAAGTGGATCAAGGAACGAAAAAATACACAAGAAGCAGAGAAGAAAAGAGTCCATAATTAGTTACCATAGTCATTCCTTGAGTAAAGATTACAACCCCCTAACATAAAGAACTTCGACTACAACACAATAACAAGCGAACTCCAGAGGATTAGTATAGCTATGGTAAAATAACACGTATCAATGAAATTAAACCTGCCGAAACTTGGAAAGAAAAAGCAGATTCGAATTCCTCTCTCCCATATCCAATTACCACAGAACCAAAAACAGATAATAAGAAACACGAGAGAGCACGAAATCCGACACCAACAGCGAACCACCATAATGAATCAAAGAAAACAGTACAAATTCAAATTGAAAAACAAGGAAAGAAAGCGACGCGATCTGAAAACCCTAAAAAAAGAAATCTGAAAAAAGAAAAATGGCGAGGAGTAAAACATTAAAAACCCTAATTCAAGAAGTAGAAGAGAAATGCTGAAATCCCTAACCAAAGACGAAGGGGTCAGATCAAGAAAGGAAGAGCACACATTAAGTGGAAGGAATTGAATCGAAGAAGACGGGGGATCAAATCGAAGAAACAAAAGCGAGAAGAAAGAGAAGAGAATAGAAGAGAGAAAGAGAGATGTATGTATATGAAGAAATTGGGAGTACCTTTGGGCATCCACGAGTGATCGGAGGGCCGGGAGGAGAGAAGATCGTCAGGGAGATCGAACTTTCCATGAGCCATGGGGGGCAGATGAATAGAGTCCGGAGATCGAAAGCAGAGGCAGCGCAGGATTAGAGCTCTGGAGACAAGAGGGAAAGAAGTGATTTGCAGAGAGAAAGGCTGAAGAGACGAGAAGAGAAGGATCGTATGAGAAAATCTAGGGGTTTGGGAGAACGGTGAAACTGTTGCAGAGAGGAAGGAGAGAGAGAGAGGGTATGTGTGCGTGTGTGTGTGTGTGTGTGTGTGTGTGTGTGAGAGAGAGAGAGAGAGAGAATGAAGAGGGTGAGGAGGGTTTGTGTTTGGGTGGTCAGAACAGCTAAATCAACTGACCAAGTAAATGTGATTTCTTCTCTGTTTTTATTTTTATTTTTATTTTTCTAATCGTCTATAAAAAAGACGGTTTATATTTTTGTTGTATATATCATCATTATCTTTCCTTTTTTTCCTTACTCGAGCATCGATCCACATCTATATGAATAAGATTATGCGATCTTTTAGTCGTATTTTAGTTGGGTCACTGGGCCGAGGGTTGGTTCATTTGTGGAATAAATGGGCTAGTCCGGCCCTTTTGATAAAGCGTGAATGGGCCTTCTGGAACTCACAGTGGCGGCCCAATGGATCAGCCCTTTTCTTAAAGTTTGGATGGGCCTCCTGGTACAAGTGTCAGTATGGACACATATTAACATACTCTTACACACATATATTGTTGAGTTAAGTGCCCTATTTTTTTGTTAAAGACATCCCAATTTAACACGGTGTTAAAAAACTTCAAAATTTGTGGACTATTTGTATTTTGCCTCGGATTGAAATTATAAAAAGTTATGGAGAAATTATGGAGAGGTTGTGGACCATGTTGCCACGTCGTGCATGATGAAATTATAGGATGGGAGTTGACTTTTTCAGTTTGTTGACAAAAATTCCATCTTTTGATTCTTAATTATTCTTGTTTTTATTCTTTATTATAAAAAAAAAATTTGGAGGCATCCGGCGAGCGGTTTATGAATTTATATCTCGATTGCTCTACGTGTCTAATTACAATGATGGTATAGTGTATACGAAAAATATTTATTCTATTTTAGACCCTTTTTATGCGATTTGGTTATATCTTAGCTTCGGTGAAGTAACACATATATTCGATGTTAATCCACCTGTGGAAAAAATAATGGAATGAATGTTTTAAAAAAGTTTTGAAATTATGATAAAATAGTCATTGAGTTGTATCCATTTGTTATTGATTCATTAGGTGCATGAATTGTATACCCCGAAAAAAATAAATGTTATACAAAGTCAAACTTAGTAAAAAAATAAATGTATATATTCCGTTTTCTGCTGAATTTCTTAGCTTATTCTTTCTAAAATAATAATAACAGTAATATTCTTATAACAAATTGTTATATTAAATATTACCCATCTACTTCCACTTCTAATTTGCCACACAATCTACACTGCATTCACTTTATTTTGTTTAATTACATTTTCCAAAATATACATAAATAATTATTAAATGTTAAGTAGGGAGGACCGGATGAACCATGAGTTTAAGTCAATTATTATAAATCTTCAATGCCATATGGTTCCCAATCCTTATTGCCTCATATGACATCCATTAGTTAACCATCGTTACATCTGCGATTGGATTCATTCATTTTTTCCTACTTAGCATTTATTTCCATATCAAAGATGCATATTTTTTAAATTCATCTTTGCGCAAATCTCCACAACTATGCTATGTTTCTTAATTCAATTTTAGTAAACATAATGGATCCATTGAAATCAAAATGATTCGATTCCATTCTTGATTCTTGCTTCTTGAAAGACAAACCTTACACTCACTTAAAACAACCCCTTCAGCAACAAAAACTAAGCATATCCTAAAATCTAAACCCACATTTAACTTCCACAGAGAGATAAGAGAATCAGAAGTGGAACTGATTTACAACGAGAGATGAAGAACGGGGACTGAGAAGATGGTAAGATCCAAATCTCTTCGGAGTAGGGTATCCACATCCACGGCGGAGATCGGCGGCGCCGTCGTCCATCTCCATCAGCACTCTGTAAAAACTCTCTACATCGCACGGCAACGACAGCGGCGCCTGGCAGTTGTATCCGTATTCCGCTTCCGCCTCTTCCAACAGCGACCGGAACAGAGGATGATTCGCATACTCTGTTGGGATCACAAATCTCTGCCTCTCCGCTCCGACGTACACCGTGAAACAACCTTCCGGTGCCACTCTACGCGTCCGGCCATAGATCCGCCACCGTTCCTCCTCGTCCTCGTCCTTGTCTTCTCCGCCGGAAATGAGCTCCCGGCGAGGCCACGATTTTGACTTCCTCGTTAAGAATCGTTTTATTCCGGCGGAGGACGGTGAATTTCTTCCCCCTCGCCCGATCGTCTTGCAGCGCTCCCAGGTTTTCAAGATCAGTCCCTTGTTCTTCACTTTCTCTCGACTCAAATCCATAGATGGAACGAACAATGGAAGTAGCGAAATTTAGAAACGAAAATCCTCGAAATTGTAATCTAGTGAGATGAATCGAACAGAATCTTAACCGCGATCGTAGACCAGATAAAACAGGATCTTAACCCTAGGCCTCATTGTGTTACTCATCGTGATTAACGAGAAATCAATTCGATGAATTTGGGAGAGGAACAAGGAGCAAAGTTGATCGTGAAAATTTCTTGAAGATTATGAAGAAAAACAAAATAGAATGGAAAAGAAAAGAAAAAAAGGAATCTCTCTGGTCTTCGTCTTGAGTCGATTGAAAATGGCGTCGGTGTGAAGTTGGAGGGAGGAAGAAGAGGTTTATATATAAAGCCAACCCCGAGTGGAATTTCAATATTTTTCAATTTCTCGCTCTCTCTTTCTATTTTTTTTTTTTTTAATTTAAATTATTGATATTATTTTATGTGACATCACTCACTTGTCAACGGCTGTGTCTCTTAGTGCAAGATTTAAAAATTAAAAGAAAAAAAAAAGGGAAATGATTAAAGATTTATAATGTTTATTATTGTATTTTATAAGGATGGAGGTTGGTTTTGAGAAACGAACTATACTTGAATTTTGGGACAGTTTTCTTCCCTTAAAATATAATTAAATTTAGTACTGGATTTATTCAATTATTGTGTTTATTTTAGTCCTTTATAAAATTTTAAAAATCCAACCAATTACGATTCTAGTAAGTCAATGACGTGGCACTGAGGAGTTGACTAAGCTGACAAATTAAGTTCAAATTAAACAATTCCGAGTGGTTAATTTATTTATTTATTTTTTTTACATTCAAGAGATTGCTACTAAATATTGTTATTATTTTCGGAATAATTATGATTTAATTAAGGAGCATTAACTTATTGTCAATCCAGCAACAATTCATTTGGAACTTCCATTGACCATTTGCATCGTTTTGAGAGAGCAACATACTTCATTGCTGTCAGCATTTAATTTCACGATGGAAATTTAAAAGAAAAATGCAAAGATATAAAGAAGGAAGAAATTGATTAAAAAAAAAAAAAAAATTCTAAAAAATGAGAACAATGAGATATAAATAAACAATAAATATTATATAAATAGAAAAAAGTCAACTTGTATTATTAAATTTAAAATGGGCGAAAAATTCAAAATAACACTCAATTCATTTTTTTTGTTTTTGTCCCTTGGGTGGCATTAAAAGTCCAGGTTAATTGTATTAAGACCACAGACTAAAAAAGATTTATTGTCAGTAATTTTGATTTATTAAAACATTTTGGTCAAATTCTAATGGCCAAAATCAGAGTAAGAGTCATTATAATTAAAACTAACAGAACAATATATCAGTAATTAATACTTTATATGGTAAATTCTATTTGTTACTTAATAATAAGTATATCATTTTTTTTTTTGTTAATTTATAAATCACGATTGTTTAACCTTCTATATTTGTATGGTTACAAATTCGACCGTGATGTTTCATATTTATGATATAAATCAAGTCCATACTTTGTAACTTTATTATTATGCAAGTACTTGGACGTAAATAAAAGAATAAAAAGAAAGTAAGGAATACAAATAAAGAAAAAGAAATATGGGATTGGAGTCAAAAGAGAATGATGGTGGAGTAAATTATTGAGTGGGTAGGAGGACTTAGTCAAACCACATTATAAATTTGCATTTTAATAATATGCAAATTACTAACTATTAATCACCACCGAAGCTTATAATTACTCTCTATTTACTTCAATTTTATACCCAATTCACCTCCTCTTCCGTCCATTTTTTTTCTACTCCATTTCAACCACCATTTTGTTGGGTCCAAATATTTTATAATATTTCTTTTTTATTAAGGTTACCCGCCGATTCATTTAAAATTTTAGATTAGATCAAATAATTTTTAAGTAGAAGTCCTTAAGCTAGTATCTTTTTTTTTTTTTAAATACATTTTGTTATTGATAAATTGAAACTGCTTGATAAGTATGAAAATAATAAATTCTTTTGGTAGAGACTTGATATTGGTATGATTGATTAAAGATAACGTTCCAAAATCAAAAGTCTTATGGGCGGCGGAAAGGGTTGGAATTTGGAAGTATTTGCATTTTTTTTTTCTTTTTTTTTTTTTTTTTTTTTTTTTTTTTGTATCAAATAAATTATTTTAAAATACAAAAATTCATCTATACCAGTTCACACTTTGATAAACACTTTAAAACAAAAATTGGATGTACATTTTATGTATTCTTAAAATAGAATTGCCTAACTTAATATATATAAGTTTGATTCTTTTAATTAATCTTACATATATTGCAAATTAAAACTTACTCACTAACGAGACACAAATAAGTTTAACAAACCTACTTTTATTTTAATTTTCATACACGTACGTATATATGATCACGATGAAAGTGATGGTGTTAAAGCGGTGAAAGGATATTAGAATGCCGTATTTACTAACACGAAATTGAAATAGTTTCAAATAATAATTAATGAGTTGGAGTGTGTGTGGCTGTTGAAGGGAATCTGCAGCACAACACCAAAATACAGAAGCATATTGTTAATGGAACTGTAAATCGTATTTGTAATTCTTCAACAGCACTGTAAGAGCATGACACAGAATTGTATGTTCACCACTTTCTTCCATTTCACTTCTTTCTTCTGCAGTCAAGAATGGGTGATGCATTCGGAAGATGGAGGAAGAGGCAAAAAGGTTACCTTTTTATTTTAAACCCAATCTTGTGGGTTTCCTCTCATAATCACATCAAAAATGTGTAAGAATCAGAAAAAGGATGGAAAAAAAAAAAAAAAACAAACAGGAACCGAGTGATATCATCTCCCACCGTCACCGCTCAAATTAGGTAGAAAAGTTACTCTGTATTCAAAGCAATTCAATTCCTTCTCTCATTCTTTCCGTTGGCGGTCTTTCGATGCGGTGGTATAATCCCGAAGCAAGGTACCCAGGAACTCTATGATCTTTTTTTTTTTTTTTTCCTTTGAGCATCATTCACTAAGAACTTGAGATGAGAATGTAAGCTCTCTTGCAAATTTGAAGATTAATGAAACAATACATTGATAATATCCAGCTTCTTGCTTCATAATATAAACAGACACATCCCCCTTGTTTTCTGTACATGAATTATAATGTTTTTGCTAGAAAAATCATAGGCACACTAGGTGTTTGTTGTTTTGCCTGAATGGACTGGGCACCCGAAAAATACATAACCACGGATCAAACAGTATCATATTCAAACAAAGTTTGTAGTGGTAAATAGGAGGGAAGACAAAGAACAACATTAGGGCTTTTGATTTTGGAGGCCCTGTGGAGGAGATGGGGGGAAATGTGGTATCCATGTTCTGGGGTCTCTAAGGTCAAATGCAGGAGGTGGGGGAGAGAAAAATGGAGGAATATGGGGAATCCATGTTCTGGGGTCTCGAGGATCAAATGCAGGAGGTGGGGGAGCAGCAAATGGAGGGATATGGGGAATCCATGTTCTGGGGTCTCGAGGATCAAATGCAGGAGGTGGGGGAGTAGCAAATGGAGGGATATGGGGAATCCAGGTTCTCGGGTCTCGGGGATCAAAAGCAGGAGGTGGGGGAGGGGAAAATGGAGGAACATGGGGTATCCAGGTCCTTGGATCACTGAGACTGAATGGAGGTGGTGGCGGTGGTGATGATGATGATAGAGGTGGTGGAGGAGAAAATGGGGAAACATATGGTATCCAGGTCCTTGGATCGCTAAGACTGAATGGAGGCGGCGGAGGTGGTGCAGATGGTGGGGGTGGACTTGAAAGTGAAGGAAAGAAAGGAGGCAAAGGTGGGAAAGGAAATGGTAATGATGGCGGGATAGGACACGAAGGGTGAGGTAAATATGGAACAGGGGGCAATGGAGGAAGTGGAGGCAAAGGAAAGGAAGGGAATGGTGGCAGAGGAGGAAAGGGGAAAGGGAATGAATAAGGAGGGAAGAAGGGGAGAAAAAACTTTGAGGAGGTCAAGGGATCTGGAGTTTTCTCTTTCTGATCTCCACATAAGCTTGCATTCTTCTTAAGAGGCCTGTAACTCAAGGCATTTAAGCTGAATATACAGAGATTATCTTGCTTAGACTTAATCGATATCTCTTCGCTTGCAGTTCTTAAACCTGGAACATTGCAGACTTCCGGTGAGGTTCCTATTAAGGTTGCTTGGCAAAATGACTGCATTGTCATACCATCCACACAATTGGTTCCATCCACAGATGGAATTTCCAACCTATATACTCCATATTTATCTGTAGTTCTGTTGACAGAGAAGCTCATTTGCTCGGCCATTTTGGGAGCAACTGCTCTAAATTTGCACTGTAAATGGACATCCACACCTGACCACCACACCACATAGTGTCTATTAACACACATAATGCTAGGCAGTTCAAATTCTAGACTTTATAACAACTGTGAAATCTATTTTTCTTACCAGGCAAGAAGTAGCTGTGTTTGGAGATACTGTTGCTCAAACATGTGTCGCAATAAACTGCACCTACTACCGAGATTCGAGTGACCGACGTTGGGGTTTCAGCTGTAAGGCCAAACAAGTTAGCGAAGAAAGATAGTAAAAAAAGGAGGAGAGAAATGGTTGGATCCATAAGAAAGACTGAAGGAGGGAGAAGGTTGAGCATCAATGGGTAAGTCCTTAAAATTTTGAAGCGTTTGTTTGCTATATACTGTTTGCATATAATGTGCCCGTGAGTTCTTGGTGTTAGACCAACTGTAATGAGAAAAGAGAAAATGATTATATATTCACTACAAACAAAGACATGTGAAGAAGGTTTTTGGCTGAATGTGGGGGCAAGCGTAAAATGAAAGGGATTTGTAGTTTAAGTCTTTTTAGGCAGATTCGGAGATAAATGGGATTGATTAAAAGGGTGTTTGATTTCCTAGATCTGGAAAGATGTTATGAAGAAGCCTTTCTTGTTTCTACCGACTGTCCAATAAATGGAACTTCCATTGTCTTTAGCACCCAAGAAAGGCCGTGAAAAAAGAAGAAGAAATGTGGAGCCTTGTTAGGCAATTTCATAGACTTCATTAGGAACTGCAGTGAATAAAATAAAAGCTCCGGTTGATTAGGAAAAGGATTCTTTTAAGCCTAATCCTCCACCCTTCTAGACAGTCTAGTTTTTGCATGGGTGCCACGGCGTCTAGACTACCATATATTATCCTTTTTTTTTTTTTTTTTTCTCTTTTCCCATTCCATTTGATTATTCTACATCCGTGTATACGAAGCTAAGAAGATCTTAATATCGATGCTTGTAATAATTAACAAATATGGCATGTAACACTAATGTGAACATAAATGTTTAGGCTACATGTACCAAATTTGAGTTTAAAACTAGGGACTTAAGATTTACCATTTTGATTTCTTTTTATGAGAAACGAGGAAAATATATTATACTAAATGGGAGAACGCAGCCTAGAGGCCGTAGGGAATAGAGGGTTATCATGGAACAACCTCTCATCTCAATTAAATTTTAAGTTTTTTGGGATTGGGATGTTCATATGATCCAATGACCCAAACAACTTAATGATTCAACCTGAAAATAAATGGTTGGGTTGGGTCATGGTACGTAGTCAAGTCATTCGGGCTATCAACTCAACAAATCCAAAATTATGGGGTGGTCCAAAAAATTTCTCCCACCCAACCTTATTGCACCCGTAACTAGAGATTTATGTTAAATGCAATATGCAATATGAATTGAAATGTTGAATGAGGTAAGTTATATATGTGTACATGTTTGAAAGCTGTGTATTTAATGGGTTAGATAGAATCATATACGGATATTGGAAAGTGATTCTTATTTGTGAGCAGTTGAAAGTTACTATTTTACTGTCTGATACAATGATGGATGTTTCCAACTACTGCTCATTCCATTATTTTAACTGTTCACTTCTTTCTTCTTTCTTTCTTTCTTTCTTTCTTTCATTCTGTAACATGTAAATGCAAACTGTTGTAGGGGCTTGAATTTATGTACCACCTTCTATCTATCTATTGTCTTGTACCCACAAGAATGAATGAATGAGTTATTGAAACTTCAACTTTAGAGTCTCCACACCTTTACCTTTGAATTTAACCCCCGTGTACCCCCATAAGGAAACAACTTTTACATATACAAGTTTTACATATATGGACAAAGAAGATGATAGAAACCAAGGGATACTCACTAATTGCTCCAAAATTGAACCCTATGTTGGAAAAGCCATTAACTTCCCCAATATTCTTCCTTACCAAACAACAATTGATTTGAATTAAAAATGTGCTTCCCAATTGCTTATGTCTATAAATCAGGCTACAATCTCTTAGGCAACCACTTTTTCGACTATACATATTGAGTTGATGTTGTATGTTTTTCAAGCTTATATGTATGAATCAAGTATGTGTTAGTTCTTCGTTAATCTGATACCATATATTTTCAGGTGAGTGTAGTATATATTGGAAAAAAGAAGGAGGAGGAGAAGAAGAGAGAACAGCAGCATGAGTTAATTATACTTCATGATTAGATCTATAAATTATGATTGTGTAGACAGATTATACTAGATGTAGGAAGAGAGAGAGCCAAAGAGTATGAAAATAAAAAGGGACAGAAAAATAATTGAAGGAACAACATTATTTTGCCTCTCCATGCTTTTATCTTGTTTCCAATGGACAATAAATTACTATATATATATATATATTGTTCTTTTTTCTGAAGTTAATAATAATAGTAATAATGGCATGAAAAGTAGTAAGAATAATTTATTTGATTTTGAGAGAATCTGGTCTTATCCCTTCATGTCCTGGTTAAGCTCAACTTTAAGTTTATGTATGTTTTAACTATAATTTGGTCCTATATATCCCTTCATGTCTTGATTAGCTTTAATGAGGGTTCATCGTTGGTTTAAATCTAATTTTAGTTTATTAACTCATTTTTAGTTTGATGAATGTTGGTAGGGAATCAAAATTACTCCTCAAGAAATGCATTTTAGTCTCTAATTTTCTTCTATTCACACTCTTAGTGATATTGCCATGGGTGGTAGAGCAAATGTAGAGCATAATGAAGTTTGGAAGGTATAAGTAAGTGTATGGTTACCTAAAAACAGAGAAGATAGACACTGCTGCATCTAGTTTGTAACTATACTTGTTTCGGGACTTCATTTGTATCCAACATATTATGGAAAGGATATTTAGATCTCAGTCAAACATTATAAATATTATATTCCTTTAAATCAATCCTAAAATTTGTAGAAATTTGTGTTCACTCCCCTAAACAGTTATCCATTTCACATTTGGATACTTAAATCTCTCATCACATTCAATGAAATTTGGTAGGAAGAATTTAATGAAGGACTGTCAACAAAAGTTTAGATGCATTAGGCAGCAGAAAGCTCTAAAATCTTGGGTAAACTTTAAACATATATGGAGAAAGAGAGAGCAAAAAAACAAAAAATTGAAAAGAAAAAAAAAGGGCATTGCTGTTGAATAAAGTTAGATCTAAAGCCACAAGGCCCCAGCTTCCTTGAGAAGAGGGACCAAACTGCCATTGATATGAGAAGCCATAACTCTGTCCATGGACCCCACCAGCTTCCCGCCAATAAAGACGACGGGCACCGGCGGCGAGGCGGCTCCGACGAGCCTCATCAAAGCCCTTTCAATTTCTTTTCCTCTGGGGTCGTGGTCCAGCTCGTACACCGTTGAGCTCACTCCCATTCCGCACAGCAGCCGCTTCAGGGCGTGGCACATGCAGCAGCTGCTCACGCTGAATATCACCACTGCGCTCCCCGCCGCCAGCCGGACCACCCGGTCCACTGGGTCTCTCGCTGCCGTCGCCGGCATGTAGTACTCCCATGAGCGCTCTGCCTGGTAATGCATCATTTTCGCGGTGACTGATGATTAAAAGAAAAAGAGTAATCTTTTTGGGGGAATTTGGTTGGCTTTGTGAGTATGGTTTGTTGGTAATGGCGGTTGGGGGATAAGGAGACGTGGGGTTTATATAGGGGAGAGAGGAATTAGTTATACTCGTGGGAGTCGATAGTAAATTTATGATTTTGTGAGTTAAACCAATTTATTTATTATAAAAAAAAAAACCCATAAATTTGTCTGCTGTTGTCGCGAGGCGTGGGAGGAAGATGTTCTGTAATGTTTTGGTTTCAAAAGGATTACTGTCTGTACTCTCTCATCTTTTTTGTTTCTCTTTCTATGCTAGAAATACAGAACAGAAAACAGAGCATTTGTATTTACATAAAAACAGGAAAACGGGGCGTCAGAATTGTGAATGGAAGGCGGCTACGAGGAGTAATAACTTGTCTACGCTACACAATACATACACTCTACACCTTAATAAAGGAGAGACAAAGCCTTATTTCGGAGATTTTTAATAGACGGCTGTGTCTGTCCTTGTTGTCGGCTTCTTTTGTACATTCAGAAAAAAAGAAGCAACTTTTATGGGAAGATGAAGAAGAAGAAGAAGAAGAAGAAGAAGAAGAAGAAATGTCTGACGCGACCCCCTTAAGCGCATGTTTTGCTTTTACCTGAACCAGTATTAACCCAAACAGGGAAAAAAAAAAAAAGAAAAAAGGATAAATTGTTGTTTCATCCTTCTCTAGTGTTGTTGTATGAGGCAATGATGTTGTGGTGGAGAGTGCATAAATTAGGGCATAACGTGCATGCGCCAAGGCCTCATCGGCGTCATATTAAGCATGTGTGGATGTCTGGTGATAAAAGAATATCATTCTTGATAAGTAATGGATGATGCACTGTTGGAGTGTGTGAATGGTCCTGATGATCCATGGCACAAGCATGGAGTTTTTTTTGATTGGGTTTGGAGATTGTTCAGATATGAATAACAAAACATGAGAAATTAAAGGTTGATAAAGATTTTGAAGGATCATGAGAATGTTTAATGAAAAAAGGAAAGGGAGAGGAGAAAGGTGAGGGGTTTTGTTTTGTGTTTTTTTTGGACCTCTCATCCCATCCCATCCCATCCCATCTCATCTCATCTGGGAAGAAGCAAAGTTTTGAATGCAAAAAAGAAAACATACATGCTACTTCGAATGTTGGTTCCATTTTGATGTAAAAAGAGGGAAATGGGTTTCAGAGTTGCAGAGTTTGGGGGTTCATACATTGCTTTGCTTTGCTTTGCTTTGTGTGCGTCTCCCATGTCTCCACTTCTCATAACATCCCCCCTTTTCTATTCCCACCCTCCAATTTCTTGTTTTCTATATTTTGTTTCCTTTTGTCTTGTTTTGATTAATTACACCAAAAGTGCATACGGCTTGGAACCAACCAAAACAAAAAGAAAAGGAGATGATGAAGAAGAAGAAGAAGAAGAAGAAGAAGAGGGGCAGGGCGTGGCCTGAAAATTCAGAACACCTGCGACACAAAGTACAGAATGAAGCTCAGACGCTTGAGCCTTCTCCGTTACTACAATTTCTAAATATTTATTTTTTGGTTTCATCTATTAATGATTTGATTTGACATGACACATAGTAAACTGTAAAAGGGCGTAGCCCCAATCAGGTAAATTTGGCAGGCTGGGTTGCCAATAAAAATAAATAAATAAACTAAAAATATTACAACCTAGGTTTTTACCTTTCAGAACAATCCATGGGCCTTCATTTTGGGCCCCACGGAGATTCTAATTCTGGGATGGACCCATTAAGAGCCCACAACGGCAAACGCTATCAACGATTTTATAATTTTTATTTTTTCTCATCACCATAATTCCATTTATTTCAACCAATCAATTAAAAATTGAGAGTTAAAAATAGTAACATGAGAAACATTTCATGCCATAAAATAACTCTTTATTTATTTATTTATTATTTTGTAAAATCTTTTACAATATCAATTTTGTTTTTATTTTACAATATGTATCCTTTTGTTTCTTTTTCATATACATAACACCAATTTTTTCAATTAAACTATTAAAAATAGGAAAGTATGTTAATTTGAAATGTTACTCAAAATTAAATGAATAGATATAGAAAAAAAGTAAAAGGAAGACCTGACACATGGCACTATATCATTGGATCAGCTAAGGCGAAAATGGTAGGTTGCTCTAATACCAAACACCATTTTCAAAATTAAAATAAATAAATAAATAAAATAAATGTAGAACTGAAAAAATCACAATATATTATTCTTGTAAAACAAAAGTAAACGCATGATTATAGAGGAAAAAAAAAAAAGAAAAAAAGAAAAGAAACGACCGACATTGTTTACTTTTAATCCACCGTATATCACGCCACTTGTGTATTTCATTTTTAAATAATAATAATTGCTTTCATACATAAAGAAAAGGACATGACCATGACATGCTTGTGTTTTCTTGATTTATTTTCATTCTATATTACAACATCAATGTAAAAAAAAAAAAAAAAAAAAAA